TGTAATTTTGGAAGAAGGGTTTCCACCTTAAATAGAACGGACTGAGAAGAGGAAGGGCTTTTTGCCACTGTCAACGCAGAACTACGTTTGGTTGAAATTTAAATCGCCTTTTGCCAAGTTGAGAGCAGATCCATGTCTGCAGAAGTTTGAAGTTTGTTTTGGAGTTGTGAAGTTTTTATCTCAGTTTTGTTGCCAATCAGGGCAGTTTTTGAGTTGAGTGAAGATTGTTTATTTTCGCTTCGGCGAGTTATTGTAGCTAGTTTGGATTGTGTAGAGGCCAGCCAGCATTGGAAGTTGGTGGAGTTTCCGTTTTACGGAGTGGCAAGCCGAGTTGCGGCAGTTTTGGAAGTTTGGACCTTCAGTAAATTGCGTCACTAAGGTGTGGTCGACGCCGACTTGAGTGTTTTTTGTGTAATTTTGAAATTTTGTTGTTTTTGTTTGTGTGTAACGTATTTGGATTAGCAGTTTTGGACATGTACCGAATGTAAGTAAAATTAAGTTTTAATTTTAGTTTTTTTTTCTCTTTGTAATAATTGTTTGTGTCTCTTGTAATATTTTTTCTTTGTGTGTGTGACAATTAAATTTGAATTTTGTAATTTTTCACAATAATTGCTGTGTATGTCATTCGAACGATTTCATTTCCTTTCATTTACTGTTTTCTTTGGATACTTGCCCAAGGTCTATTTTATTTAATCAAAATTCTTAAGATTGATTTGGAATTTATGGTTTTTGGTCTAACCCACTATCTGTTAGAAGTTAATAATTTAACTGAGAAAAGAGTCGAATTCCTCCTCTGTGCTGGGGAGAAGTTTTGTTCCGAGGAAGATAAAGGTTTGAGCTAGCTAGGTTTGTTTAGGTGTTTTGTGTACGGTCTGTTTGGCTTACGGACCGGTGCACACAGCATTTTTAGCGCATTTCCACAAAAATAAAAAAAAATGCGGTATTGTGGACACTTTGTCCGTCCGTCCGTCCGTCCGTCCGTCCGTCCTCTCGTTTTGCGACGCTACTAGTTCTTTATCTTAAGAGCTATTGTTCTACTTTTTTCGCTATTTGGTTCGTATGGTGTCGAGTCTTGCACCAAGGAAGGAATTTTTTCTGTACCGCTTACAAAAAACGTTATTGTAAAAAAAACAAAAAACCGTTTTTTACATGTTCTATAATTTTACACTTTTCCCGTTTATTAGCGATCCTAGAGATCTTTTATAATTTTGTATTGCTGTCTGTCGTCTGTCTGTTGGTCTGTCCGTCTGTTCCTTTGTCTGTCTGCCCCTGTATCTGTCCGTGTGAACGATAACTTTGTTTAGAAATGTCCGATCGCTTTTACATCTCCGTTAGTTATTAACTGAATTGCATGAAATTCAATATGGGCATAGCTTTAGCCATATAATACGCAACGCCAAAAGTTGAGTCGAATCGATTCAAAATTCAGTGCCCTTTTCGCATCTTGACCATTTATAAACAGAATTGCAAACTTTTTTAATTATAAAAGTATTTAAATGAAATTTGATACATAGGCACATGGAATAAAGGAAAATCAAACGCCAGTGTCAAAATTTTGTTTTGCACATGCGCAGTGCCAACTTTTTTTATTTATGGAAGAATTTAAGCGAAATTTGATACATAGGCACATGGAATAAAGGAAAATCAAACGCCAATTTCAACATTTGGTTTTACGCATGCGCAGTGCAAACTTTTTTATCTATGGAAGCATTTAAGTGAAATTTGATATTTAGGCGCTTGGAACAAAGGAAAATCTAACATTAGTTTCAAAATTTAGGTTTGCGCAGGCGCAGCTCCAACTTTCTTATTTAGTTTTGCATTGAAATGAAATTCTTCTCATAAACTGAACTTGAAGAAGCACGGCAAAAATGGATTGCCCATGTGCAACGCTATCTTTCATATTTGTGGCCGTATTTTTACGATTTTAACAGAAGTTGCATCTTACAAATGGGAAATGAATGCAAGTGGAAATGCGCTTTATGTAAATCGTTTACGATTACTTTTTAACTTGTTAAATTGGCGCCCAACGTGGGGCCACAGTATTTTTAATTGGCGCCCAACGTGGGGCCACACAGCAATATATATAAAACGTGGGATATTCTGAGAATACCCTTGCAGCTCAGTTTATTCCGAATATTCTTTGTATACGACTATGAGGTATACTGTTTAGGATATTCTGAACATAAACGTGAAAGAACTGTATCCGGTACACTCTACACAATGCAATTTGGAAGTAAGAATATTCACAGGATATTCATAAGGATATTAGAATAGGTATGTAGTATATTACCATGCAACTTAAAAGAATATTCTCCATTTGATCTGAATATTCGTAAATCATGATGCATCGAAATTTGTATTTAGTCCATAACTTTTGATTGAGAGGTCTGATCGAAAACGTACGAATCGTTTTGGATTCTACACACCAAAATTAGTGAGAAAAAGTGTTTTCCCGAGAAAATTTGGAGCAGTCGATTTTTGGTAAAAAAAGGAAGGTAAATAACTGCCTTTTTTTGAGGCCGGAAGAAAAATTGTCTGAGATCGACCGGGAAAAAACATTTTCTTATAGAGTTTGGCCAGTAGAATCCATTATTTCAAACAGTTCCAAGATTGGACTACTAGATCAAAAGTTACAGCCCTTTGAATTTTATATATACAGAGTAGCCCAACGAGAAGTATACAGAGGGCTTTTAGGGTATTAAATTTAGAAATTTCGAAAAATCCTCGAACACGTCAATTTTGTATTCGAGGGGGACAACTTTTGGAATACAAATCACGAACCCACGTCTTCACCCCTCTACGTAGGGAGCGTAACCCCTAAAATTTTAAATGGAATCCTATGGCAAATGGCACATTATTTGAAAGCCAATTTAATCGTGATTACTAATCTGTTTTGCTTTTTAAATTCTATTGATTCGTTTCGGAGATATTCGCATTTGAAATGTTTTTTTCTAAAAAAACCAAAACAAATGCGATCTAAGTCACCTTGTATTAAAAAAAGTTTAAATTGTGCAAAAAATAACAAATAACTTTAAACACACAACATTTATTTCAATAAATGCTCGAATTGCCTTCCGCCTGCTTCCATGCAATAATAAAGATTTGCTTCAAAACGCTGCCGTACATGTTGCAAGATTTCAGGGGTAATCGCTCGAAATTGTGTATTCTATTCTTACACTATGGTTATACGTGCTCGCAACCCTTGTAATGTTCCGGGCGGAGTAGCATAAACTTTATTCTTTAAATATCCCCACAAGAAGTAATCTAAAGGACTTAAATCAGGGGAAAAAAACCATTTCAAATGCGAATATCTCCGAAACGAATCAATAGAATTAAAAAAGCAAAGCAGATTAGTAATCACGATTAAATTGGCTTTCAAATAATGTGCCATAGGATTCCATTTAAAATTTTAGGGGTTAAGCTCCCTACGTAGAGGGGTGAAGACTTGGGTTCGTGATTTGTATTCCAAAAGTTCTCCCCCTCGAATACAAAATTGACGTGTTCGAGGATTTTTCGAAATTTCTAAATTTAATACCCTAAAAGCCCTTTGTATACTTCTGGTTGGGCCACTCTGTATATATAACCTGGGATATTCTGAGACTTGCAGTTCAGTTTATTCTGAATATTCTTTGTATACGACTATGAGGTATACTGTTTAGGATATTCTGAACATAAACGTGAAAGAACTGTATCCGGTACACTCTACACAATGCAATTTGGAAGTAAGAATATTCACAGGATATTCATAAGCTACACGTAATTGCGACAAAACGAATATTCCCCGTGCATCCAGGGAATTTTATGTTTGTAATTTTTCGGTATGAAAGTTGTATTCATACGGAAAAATCAAGGAATAGTGTGTTCTCAGTGTATTCATGGCATGTTAAAAGAATATTCTAAGAATATCCAATTTTATCTGGGTGTATGGAAATATTGCAGTGAATATTCTAGAAATCCAGATGAACATGGAGGCGCCTTAGAGATTAGTCACCGACGATAAGAGACGAACGCGGATTCTTTCCCGGAAATACCATGTGTTTCGTTGGAGAATATTCAGTTAATTGCACAAAACTGATTATTTCCCAATACATTCAAAATTTTGCGGGATCCCGCAAATACCGGGATCCCGCCGGATTAACATATAGCGATAAAGGTGAAGATATGGTTGAAGATGTGGAACCTTGAGACGTGTTGCCTTTGTGAGAGTAACTTGGATTAGAAAGAATCCAAAACAGAGCAGTTGTGGGTAGATCTAGAGGACGCCCTCCCCCTAGCAGTCTAATATAAAGTTACGAAAACAATCTAAGAAAATTAATTAGGCATATATTTTACAATCACAAAGTTTTATAAATATTGCTATTCGTTAAGACTTAAAAAATTCATTTACAGAAGAGTCAAAACAATGTCTTCTAATAGTAGTATAGAAAACTTAGCAAGTATTCATTATTTACACGATTGAGCTAAACAGCTATTAAATCTGTTCCTATTTAACAAATCACTTTATGCTCTGCTTGATTAGCTTCATAAAAATCGTAGGAAACATCAAATATTTAACAACAACAAAAATAATTGGAATGAATTATCCCAAACAATCAAAATGTCCTCCCTAATTGTACACTGTAAATTATATACAAATTATAAATATAATACAAGAATCATAATTTACTAATATAAACAATATAAAACAGAATGGTACTCTAATTAAACCAAATTCGTACACAACAGCTTTAGTATACAGTTACATATGGCAAAAAAGCATCCCCCGATTTTGCCTATAATAACTTATTTATAGGCCAACGTTCGATTGTTGAAACCAAACATACAAAAATATATATTTTATATTATTTCTAACTATTCGTAAAATATCTTTGGTATTTATAATCTAACATCCCCATAACAAATGAATTAAATTCAAGGGGAGAAAATAAACTGAAACAGAAGAGAGAAGTGCAATTTCGTTCATTAATGGAAGCTCACGATTAAATTGGTACATAATAAAAATGCACGAATATATCTTGTAGAGTCTCAAAAATCTTTTAAACAATTCCAAGCCGAACGCAATTATACCTACATTTACTCTAATTACGATTATGTAAATTTGATATCTTTTATTCAAGGAACGGTCAGAAATAGAAAATAAGATCGATATTGATTTTATAAGAATTGACATCGCAAAATTTGGTACCTAGGGATTGATACCAAAACGTGATATGTACAACTACACTCAAGCTTATTAATGTAACAGTACTCTTTGATTAACTTTTAATCAGATAATTCGGTCAATTAATTTAATTGTCGAGCGTAAAAATTTTACAATATAGGACATGTTTGTTTTTCGGCGCAGTACCATCATCCTCGTTCCCATAAACAAACTTTCTTAAAGTACTTTGATAATAATATCTAATGGGGTATTGAAAAAATCGATTGATATATTTAGTCAGTCTTTTCGTAATAATTATGCAATTAAGTCTGCAAATCTAGTTATGTACAATGTATTATACGTGCGTCGCCATCGTACCGCGTTTAATCGTCGAGTTCGGCACGATGTATTGACTCGTAGGTGAATTGGGTAACCTAGATACCTGGGGGACGGCGCCGTTCGCGCTGTTAGCGAAAATTGGGTTCACCACGCTAGCACTGTTTGTCACCACGCCACTGACATTCACAAAATTTCTAGAGGAATCTCGGGAGTAGGGCGGAGGCGCCGGTGTCGCCGCCGGGTTTGCGGTGTTCGGCGTCGGCAGGCCTATGCTCGGATTTCGCAGGTAGGGGTTGCCGTAGGTCGCACTGAATCGTGGATCGATGGCGGCCACGTTTGGTAGATTGCCGTTTGGAATGTTTGGCGCGTTCACCATGTGAATGTCCGTGAGGTCACTAAGCGGCAAGCCGCTAACTGAGATTGGATGATTGTGGGATTGTAGGGAGTTTAGTTGGAGGCGAGTCGATTGCAAACTCTCCCGGTTCGGGTCCAGCGATGAAGAGATCGGAGGCTGCATGATTGGCGGGTTGTAGTCTCTGGCGTAGTCGACGTACGGGACGTAGCCGTTATTGTTCTGGCCATCCTGTAAATAGTCTGCTACAGTGGGGGCATGATTAAGTGACGGAAATACCTTTGGTGGAAACGTGGGCTCGGTGTAGTCCGCCGAGTATCGATACACCTCCTGTCCTGGCAAGTTGACCGGTCCAGCCAGTGGAACGCCGATCCTTGTAATCACAGATTCGCTACCGGTTTCGGAGTCGGCTCCCGGCACGTAGTCGTCGCAGTGCATGTTACTGTGCGAGGAGCCCGTTCGAAGATCCAGCTTCAAGTCGGAAATATTGGAGCTGCGATCGGATTCTTTGCATTGCTTTTCAATCACGTTAACGTCAGCTACAACAAGGGCATGGTTAGCATGTAGTATTAGATGTGAGTCAAGGGTCATACTATACTAGACAGACCACATAAAAGTTATCGTTCCGCAACGACTTTCTCTATTCTGTATGACAAATAACAGTGATCTGAGTATAACTGTCGTTTAAGATCAAATCTTTACCATAACGATATCGTTTGTTAACGACATTATACAGAATAGACCGCTAGATTATATTGAAAGGCTAGTTAAATTTCTGAGCGCGCGAGATTATAAAATGTGACCAAATTAAGCTCGGTTAGGGGTCCGGATGCGCCGCCTCACCTCGCAAACTTGTAGAGTTTTATCTAGGAACATTATTTTAGAGTGGCAGAAAAAAGTCTTTATTAATCATTAATAGGTGTCTTTTAAGGTTGTTTAATATGTTTAAGAGGTTGCTCAAGAAACATTTAAAACCACTGAAGAGCCTCTTAAAATCTTTAGAAGTCTTTGCGAGTGACCAATAGTTTGAACTTCCAATAGCCTTAAAGGGTTTATAAAAGTTTCCTAAAGGCTTTTAAAAGCCACCATCTCTGCAGACTTTAAGAGTCTTCAATACTCCCTGAAAGTTAGCAAGAGTCCATAAAAATCCTTACCAAGTATTTTATGTAGATTTTTTGAGAGCTTTTATAGCCCTTTAGCAATCCAAGCTTTTAAGAACCCTTAAGAGCAAAGTCTTCAAGAGCCTCAAAGGATCCCCAGTAGTCTTCCAGAAGCTTCACGAGTCCTCGAGATTCGCTAGCCACTAAGAGCTTGTATAAGTGAAATGGTTTAAAGAATCTTTCGGACCTTCAAAGAGTTTAAAAACGACTAATCCTTAAAATCGGCAGAAGTTCTAAAAAGTTTTCAATAGCCTTTTGCAACCTTTCATGGAAATTAAAGAGTTTTAAAAAATGTATAATGCCGTATTTTGAAAAACATTTTGAGACTTCCTTGAGCGAAGGGTTTTACGGGTGCAGAAGCTTTAAAAATCCTTAATGCACGTCTTGAAGAACCTTTAAGATCTTTTAGATCTCTAAAAGTAAGATTCTCTGCTGCTGTCTTTAAAAGTCGAGCCTGTCTTTAAGAAGCTTTGGAAGTTTCAAGAGCAATTTTTGAAAGTCTGGGCTTTATTGACATTTAGCTTTAAAGCGGGCCTTGGACGTTCAATATTATTGCGCAATATTTTGGTGTGCGCAAAAAATTCTATTGTATGGAGGCGATATTGAAAATGTTGCGTGAAAGTGAATTGTGTGGTAATTCCTGTGGCCAGAAGGGCAAAAAAGCACAGAAAAAGGACTCGCAAAAACGTAGAAAACGGGCCAAGCAGTGGTTGATTGATAGGGAGAAGTACACTCCCTCTGACACATCCCCATCACAGAAATGGGGTATGAAGGAGTGTACATCCGCTTAAAAATTCAGTCGACTTTCCCTGACTCTATCGTTGACCATAGCCATAACCATTCGTCGCGATCCTTGCCACACAAAAAGGAGCCACCTGGACGACACAGCCGAGCTGGTGGAGGCCATCGCCAACACAACTCAAACGGTACACGTCCACCACGTCAACCAAGCAAACCCAACTCACCAACCCAGCGCCATAGATCACATCCCCACCCATCAAGACCCACAGCAAAAGGCGTACTCCGTCACTAGACCGGAGGTAAGGTGCATGCAACGATCGAGGCAACACTGCCGCTAACTGCGATGTAAAAATTTTGATGAGGTGCCAGTGACATATTCCCAGAAATGGGGTATAAAGAGTGTGCATCGGCATAAAATTCAGTCTACCTCTGTTCACCCTCTGGTTCTATCGTTCACCCAAAGCATAGGTCTCCCTCAAGTCATAACGTATACCCTTACTGCATGTAACAACCCTGTATCTACGTTTTCCCAAACTGTTTATTAGATGCAGAGAAGCGAGTCTACTGGAGAGCCCGAGCTATGCCGGACTCGCCTTCGGTTCGCTCGGCATTGGTATGCACTTCGCATTTTGTGACCGGCATCGTTTATCAGCACCGAAATTCGGGAAAGCTGTTGATTTATGCCGATCTCGTCTTTGGTTCCCTCGCCATTGGTATATGAGGTGCGCGTGTGAATCGAAAATCTTTTGTTAGAGGAAGGGAAACCTTACAATATAGTGTAGTGTAAACTGTAGGGGGGTCTCGTTTCTCTAGGTTTAAAAAATGGCGAAGATGAGAGCGAGCCCCCTGCACTTGAAAATTTACGTGCTGTAAACGTAATTCAGGTTTAGCATTAGAAGTGGCAGGCGGCACATCCTGCATAATGTTTTTATTTATTTGTTTAGGATTATGAGGGAAACTATTAAATGAAAACAAGACTTTGTTTAATGATCATTGTAATGTTAGTTTTTGTATTGTAAATATAGAATTTAAGGACTGTTATTATATTTAATGAGTGTTAAAAATTCAGGGAAACCATAGAATAGGACACATTTAATTTAAAACCAAAAAGAGTGTTATCTGGACAAATGTGCCGTTATCGGACAAATTAATTGGCCAGGCGTGATAAAATAATACCTGCATGATACGCGTGCGCATATGGGGATCAATTGGCTGTTCGTTTTTCGTCGTGTAACAACGATGCGGATTAATGGAGTGGAGGTGATGAATACTTAAATAAGTGAAGTGAAATTTCTCAGTGCCCAAATAAAAATTCTACATTTTTGTCGTCACTCAAAATGTTATAGAAACTGAATAGTCCTAAAGACTGAACATTAACTGGAACTCCAGTGAGTGAAAGTTGTCTATTTAGCAAGTATTATAATTTTTGGAGTACTTACTTTCCGGAGGCGGTTTCTTGTGGCTTTGCCTGTGCCACAAAAATATCAGCAAAATCGCAATGATAAGGATGATAACTGCCACTACGAATCCGATGATGAAAATCAACATTGGAAAGGTTTCTGTAAAAGCAACTACGAAGTTAATTAAGATTGTTAGTAAAATGGAATATTAGCAGACTTACTTTGTGGCATTAGGTTTATTTCGACGACGTCCGAACCGTAAGGGTTCGTCACGCTGCAGTTGTACATCCCAAAATGGCGCTCTTGGGATTCGCGTATGATCAAAGTCGATTTAATGCCTTCGGGCAGCGGATCCTCCAGTATCGAGTAGTCTTGATCGTGGAGGTCCACTTCGCGCCCGTTAAAAGTCCAGATCACTCGTTCGGGTGGCGGAATCGAGTAGGCCGTGCACTCCACCCTCACGTTGTCGCCTTCGATGCCGAATTGAGTTCGATGACTTATGATCGACGGAGGTCCCTTCAGGTAGATCGCCGCCTCGGCGCCTATTTCGGGAAATCCGGGCACGAACGCCTTGCAATAGTAGCGGCCTGCGGTATCCGTGTCGACGCGCAACGTGAGATTGGGACTCGTACTAACGATCCGCGAGGAATCTTCGTGCAGCCAAGTTATGTCGGGGAATGGGTTGCCGTCAACGTCGCAGGATAAGGTCACGCTTCCACCGCTATCCGCCTGTACCGATTTTGGTTTCGCTCGAAATTGTGGACCATCTGGAAAGTTCGATCGAAATTATTCGGGTAGTAGTTACAAGTTTTACAAAAAGAGGAATATTGCATTGAGTACCAAAAATGTACTCAAAAACTGTAAGAGTAAGAGCACAACCCCCTTTGTAACTGGCCACTTATTCTAAAGCATCGTTTTCAAGATATTCGCACACAAGCGCCCCCCCCCCCCTCATTAGTGGCCTGTGCTTAGAATTTGATCTGATTTGGAAGAAACTGAAAATGGTTAGTGAAGATACTTACAGCTTATGTCGAGCGTCTCGCTTTCTTCACTCTTCCCGACAACATTATGGACCTCGCACTTGACTATGGCGTCGTGATATTTTCGGGTAACGTTGGTTAGCACCAACTCCGTCGTGTAGTCGCCGACGATAACCTGGTCGTTCAGAAACCACCGATAAGTGACCTCCGGCGGATTCGCGTCCGCCTGGCATCCGACGCGTATCTCCGCGCCTTCGGGAAGGCGTCCGTTCGAGGCCGCCCCCGACAGAATCGCCACGGTAACCTTGGGAGCGTACTTCACCTAGGAAGAGAGAGCGATTAGTGCTGGTAGCGCCCGTAGGGATCTTACCTCCAGTTTTAACTTGGCGGACTGATGCGTTCGTTCGGCCGTGTTCTGCGCTTGGCAGGTGAAGGTGGTGTTGTGGTGCTCCTTGCGCGGGGTGAGTTTCAGTATGGACTTCGCGGTAAATCTTCTACCGTCGGGAAGTTCGTCGACGAGGTATTCGATACCGTTCGTCAAAACCGTTCCGTGTCCGTCGATCCACGTGATTTCCGCCGCAGGTTTTCCGCCGTAGCTAATGCACTCCAACTCGATTTCTCGATCCTCGGTCGTCACTAGATAATCGCCCTGAACTATCTTCGGGGGATCCGGCGGTACCAATACCGTTACGGTGGCAAAGTGACTTCTAATGCCAGGTTGACCTAGAGGACCCGGCGATACTTGGCACTGGTAGCGGGCGTCGTCGTCTAACATCACGGGATAAATATCCAGAGAAAAATCTCCTGAAAGCAAAGGGAATTATTAGTGGGGATTAACATTATTTAGGGGTGGCCGGTATCATTCTCTCTTTCGCAATTTAAAGGGAAGACCTTTTCCCTGAAAATGAGGTAAGCGTTATTAACCTTTAGAAATCCCAGAAGAACAAAACGCTTTCACAGGACCGTAATAAAGCCTCTCTTTTTATGAACTCGTTACGTGCCCTGCTATAGGTGTGCCAATCACTTTGGTTTTATGTGCACACTCAAAAGCGTCACTTCTCCTTTCCCCCGTATAAATAATATTGTCATCGAATTTTTATGAAGTAATAAATGTTTTAGACGCTCGCGAGCTCGAGTTATTGATATTTTTCCGGCGACCCCATTTACGAAATTAGTTTTTTCTCGACCGCCCCGAAGTTATCGACTCGAAATGCAATTAAGACATATACGAGAATCTGCGCTTTTATTTATTGCGTATACGTTTACGAAAGATGAATTATAAGCCGGGGACGACACGGCGGTAATATTTCTTTTTTCGAGCGCGCAAGATTTTCCGACAATACCTTACGAAGTTTGCGAACATTACAAAACCCCAAAGCTAATCTTGAAACTTTGTAACTAGATAGTGGTAACCGCGAATTCCACCCACTTTCAGATACCATTTAAATATGAAAATGCCTGATATAAAACAGCATGGGCTCCCCGGGGCACGAAAGTTTCAAGTTTCGCAGGTTCAAATTGTTAAGAGAATCCTCTCGTTCCTGCTAAAATTGACGGCCTGTAATTACCTGCTTACTGTTCTGCATATTATAATCGATCTTAGCGATCTATTTTACTACCATTCTGAATTGAAACGGAAACGAAGTATTTTCCGACACAATTCGTCATTTTTAGCTTCTCGGCAAGGGGTCATTATTGTGCATATGACATGCAAAAGCTAGCGCCAGTTCGCTAAATGTAGAAATGAATATTCAAAAAGCTTCTGGAGAAGCTGTGTAATCTACAATCGGCGCATGCGCATATTAATCGCCAAGATTTTTCTTGGTGCCAGAGGTATAAAAGAAAAAGAACGAGCTAAATGTCTTGAAAACTATAGGGATAGTCCGAGCTTAAGTTGAAATTTCTGAGATAGAATCCGAAATGTTGAGTGAAACCTGAGATTATTGAGACAAAATCCTTGAAAAATATTTATGTGGCTCCTATACCTATTGGTATTTCCGGGATAAAGTCAGAATTTCTGTGATAAAACAGGACGCTTCAAAGTAAATTCAGAAATTCCTGGTTTAAGTTGAAATTTCAGAGAATTTGAGTGAAAGTTGAGATATTGAGACAAAATCCTTCAAAAATATTTATGTGGCTCCTATACCTATTCGTATTTCCGGGATAAAGTTAGAATTTCTGTGATAAAACAGGAGGTTTCGAAGTAAATTCAGAAATCCCTGGTTTAAGTTAAAATTTCAGTGATTTTAAGTGAAAGTTGAGATTATTGAGACAAAATCCTTGAAAAATATTTATGTGGCTCCTATACCTATTGGTATTTCCGGGATAAAGTCAGAATTTCTGTGATAAAACAGGACGCTTCAAAGTAAATTCAGAAATTCCTGGTTTAAGTTGAAATTTCAGAGAATTTGAGTGAAAGTTGAGATATTGAGACAAAATCCTTCAAAAATATTTATGTGGCTCCTATACCTATTCGTATTTCCGGGATAAAGTTAGAATTTCTGTGATAAAACAGGAGGTTTCAAAGTAAATTCAGAAATCCCTGGTTTAAGTTAAAATTTCAGAGATTTTAAGTGAAAGTTGAGATTATTGAGACAAAATCCTTCAAAAATATTTATGTGGCTCCTATACCTATTCGTATTTCCGGGATAAAGTTAGAATTTCTGTGATAAAACAGGAGGTTTCAAAGTAAATTCAGAAATTCCTGGTTTAAGTTAAAATTTCAGAGATTTTGAGTGAAAGTTGAGATTATTGAGACAAAATCCTTCAAAAATATTTATGTGGCTCCTATACCTATTCGTATTTCCGGGATAAAGTTAGAATTTCTGTGATAAAATAGGAGACTTCAAAGTAAATTCAGAAATTCCTGGTTTAAATTGAAATTTCAGTGATTTTGAGTGACAGTTGAGATATTAAGACAAAATCCTTCAAAAATATTTATGTGGCTCCTATACCTATTCGTATTTCAGGGATAAAGTCAGAATTTCTGTGATAAAACAGGAGGTTTCAAAGTAAATTCAGAAATTCCTGGTTTCAGTTAAAAATTCAGAGATTTTAAGTGAAAGTTGAGATTATTGAGACAAAATCCTTCAAAATATTTATGTGGCTCCTATACCTATTCGTATTTCCGGGATAAAGTTAGAATTTCTGTGATAAAACAGGAGGTTTCGAAGTAAATTCAGAAATTCCTGGTTTAAGTTAAAATTTCAGTGATTTTAAGTGAAAGTTGAGATTATTGAGACAAAATCCTTCAAAAATATTTATGTGGCTCCTATACCTATTCGTATTTCCGGGATAAAGTCAGAATTTCTGTGATAAAACAGGAGCTTCAAAGTAAATTCAGAAATTCCTGGTTTAAGTTGAAATTTCAGAGATTTTAAGTGAAAGTTGAGATTATTGAGACAAAATCCTTCAAAAATATTTATGTGGCTCCTATACCTATTCGTATTTCCGGGATAAAGTTAGAATTTCTCTGATAAAACAGGAGACTTCAAAGTAAATTCAGAAATTCCTGGTTTAAATTGAAATTTCAGTAATTTTAAGTGAAAGTTGAGATATTGAAACAAAATCCTTCAAAAATATTTATGTGGCTCCTATACCTATTCGTATTTCAGGGATAAAGTCAGAATTTCTATGATAAAACAGGAGATTTCAAAGTAAATTCAGAAATTCCTGGTTTAAGTTAAAATTTCAGAGATTTTAAGTGAAAGTTGAGATTATTGAGACAAAATCCTTCAAAAATATTTATGTGGCTCCTATACCTATTCGTATTTCCGGGAAAAAGTCATAATTTCTGTGATAAAACAGGACGCTTCAAAGTAAATTCAGAAATTCCTGGTTTAAGTTGAAATTTCAGAGATTTTGAGTAAAAGTTGAGATATTGAGACAAAATCCTTCACAAATATTTATGTGACTCCTATACCTATTCGTATTTCCGGGATAAAATGCTTAAACAATTATTTGTGACCCCTTATGTACTTTCGTATTTCCGAGATAGAGTCGGAATTTCTGATCTAAAGCCGTAAATTTCAAAATAAAGTCAAAAATTCGGAGCCTCAGTTTGTTTCCGAAATATCGAGTATAAGTCGGCATCTTCGATATTAGTACAAAATCCTTAAAAAATATATTTATGTGGCGCCTATGCATCCTCGTATTTTCGAGATAAAGTCGGAATTATTAATATAAATACGGAAATTTCAAAGAAAAGTCAGAAATTCCGAGATTACGTTGGAATTTTCCAGATAAACTCCAAAATTTGACGTGTAAGTGGAAATTTACGGATATTCTTAGATAATTCATGTGGCGTTTATGCACCCTCGTATTTCCCGAAAGAGTTTCTTAGATTTAATTACAAAATTAAAGAAACGGTTAAGTTGTAATTTTAGAGATAAAGTCCGAAATTTCGAGTATCAAACTGAGTTTCCGATATTTAAGTGAAATATTTGTCCCCCTATACACCTTCGTATTTAAAGAATAAATTCAAAACTGCTGGGTAAAACCGGAGATTTGAAAGTAAATTCAGAAATTCCTGATAGAAAATTAGGGGTATAAGTCGGAATGTTGGTCGGAATTTAAGAATTACGATACAAAACCAAAATTCTTAAAAAAATATTTGTGACCACGGCGTATTTCTGAGATAAAGTTGGAATTTCTGAGAAACGTCGGAAAATTCCGAGGAAAATTCAAAATAAAGTTAGAAATTTCAAATGACATTAAGACGAAATTCTGTATGTGGCCCGTCTTCACCCTCGTATATCTAAAAAAATCCGAAGTCAAGTTGGAATTTCCGGGAAAAAATCAGTAAATTTCGAGTATACAATATTTGGGCAAAATTCTTTAAAAATATCTATGTGACCCCTATGCACAGTTGCATATCCAAAATAAAGTCAAAATTTCTAAGATAAAATGCAAATACCGAAGTAAAGTCAGAGATTCGGAGCTGGAATTCGAATTTCCGAGATAAAGTCAGAAATTTCGGACATACGTAGGAATTTCGGAATTTACGATATTAAAACGAATTCCCTAAAAAAATATTTAGTGGTCGCTGTGCAGATAAAGCTGCTATCCACCATCGTGCTTCAGAGATAACGGAATTCCTGAGATGAAACCGGAAATTGCAAAGTAAGTCCGAAATTCCGCCCTTAAATTGGAATTTCCAAAATAGAGTTGTATTTCCATTTCGAGTATAGTCGGAACTGACGACATTAAGGCGAAATTGGATGGTCTCTATGCATCTTCGTATTTCCGGAATAAAGTCAAATTTTCTGGTATAAAGGAAAATTTCAAAGTAGATTCAGAAATTCCAGATTTAAGTTGGAATGTTGGAATCTTAGAAATCTAGACTATACGTCGGAATTTCAGATACCAAAATCCTTAAAAAGTATTTATGTTATCGCTAACACGTTTGAATTTCCGGGATGCAGTTATAATTTCTGGGATTATACCGGAGATTTCAAGTAAAATCAGAAATCACTGGTTATGGGAATTTCCGAGATAAAATCAAAAATTGGGAGTACAAGTCGGAATTTAGGAATTTATGATACTAAAACGAAATATTTATTGTGACCGCACCTTCATATTTCCGCGCTAAAGTCGGAATTTCTGGAAATTCACAATAACGTTTGAAAATTTACGATGTTAAGATGAAATTTTTAGAAAACTAAATGTGGCCCCTGCACCCTTATATCTTCGTAAAATGTTGCAATTTCTTCGATGTAGCCAGAAATTTCAAAATAAAGTCCGAAATGCGGAAGCCAAGTTGTAATTCTCGATATCAAGTCCAAAATTTCCGGTATAAGTCGGAA